ATTTTGAGGTGTATGTAAATTCTTCTAGTACAGACCAGTCTACTGTGTGGCATCACCAGTACTAGATCATCAGAAGCATCTCAGCTTTAACACGTTTCGCACAAAGTGGGTGCTCAATTAGAATTTGTCGAATAAAGGAATGTCCAAAAGTGTACCCTTACTCTCCACCCCCGCTGCCTTCCCCACCTCAGCAAACTGCTCCATTGGGCATTTGCTCAAGCCAGAAGTCAGGAAGTCATCCTTGCCCTATCCTTTCCAATGAGCCCCACATCCAGTCGATCCTCAAGTCCTATTAATTGTGCCTCCAAGATCCATCTCCACTGCCACTGCTCTGGTTCAAGTCCCTGTGTTCCCTCACTGGTCTCCTTGCTTCCACTCCTGCTTCCCTCCAATCTACATTGCCAGAAGTCTGAGTGATCTTCATGGAACATAAATAGGGAGATATGCCCCCTCTAGTCAAGACCGGTCAGTGCCTTCCTATTCTTTAGCTCACTGTCAAGGCCCTGGACCACCCTGCCCACCCTCCAACCTGACAATGCTCCAGCCATTGTCCCGCTCTGGTGTCTTGAGCACATCAAGTCTCAGGGCCTTCTGTCTGGGACTGTCTCCTCTCCTACATGTGGATGGCTCCCCCGTGTCCTTTAGACCTCAAATGAAATGTTTCTTCTTCAGGAATCCTTCCCTAGCCCCTCAATCTAAGTTGATCGCACTGTTATATTCTCTCCTAGTACCCAGAAGTCTAATCACATTTCAATCAGACATCGACTACACTGTTCACGAGATGACCTATTCAAGTCCCCTTTGCTGTACCCTAAGCTCCATGATGAGTACAGGCATCTTCTTTGTCTTGTTTACCACTGGCACACATAGCAGGTACTCAACTAGTACTTGAACAAATGGCTGAGTGTTACTATTGTATTTGGCTGCATTGGCCTTCAGTACACATTTTTCTGTGTATATGTTTGACACATGTAGCCTGATGTCACTTGGCCTCCTCTGTCCATGAGGTCCATTACGGTCACTAACTGTCTCAATAGCTCCCACTAACAGTGCAGAGGGCTCTTACCAGCCTGAGATTTAGCCTGAAGATGGCTCCTGGTCTCCAGAGTACCAGTATCTCATCTATTCAAGGCAGGGTCTTAGTGTGTGGTTCTCCCCTGCTGAAGCCCCCCCAGCTCCTGTTCCAGGCCCCTGCTGAGGGTATCTGAGGGGACCTGCGAGAGCTGTGAGCCCTCCTGATGTGGTCTGCCACTGGCTTCAGCTGGGATGGCTGGCTACCTGGAGTTGATGCCATACAGTAAATAATCTAACTTTCGGCTGCCTACATTTGATATTACAGAAGTATTGGGTCGTCGGAAAAGTCATGGTGTATTTTTCTGTTTCTTGTTGCAAAAATGTGTCATGACGTTTCCGACGACCCAATATTTTCTTGTCAGTAAACTTCTTCATCAGCACCTTTTAAAATGGCTGCCTAATATTGTTGGTCTTCAAATGGCTACTTAATATTTCCCTGATTCACCAATGATAAGAATATTAATAATTAAATAAAAATAAAAGTTTTATTGCTTACATTTCATTTTTACAAAACTGTAAGGATTTCCTGCGTATCTTCTCTCCTTTAATAAACTAGCCTGATTATAAGAAACATACAATTATAAATGGTTCACTTTTTCTTTCTGGCAGTTTCTTGAAAGACCATCCCGATTCTGGGGAATATTCAGAAATTAAGTTTGGGATTTTCCTACCACTCCCCCCACCCCCGCCCCTCTGTCCCTACCAGTAAGTAAAATTGCATTTACTATTCTCATCTATATTCTTACATTATTACTGAAACTATATTTCTGTCTCTTCTCATAGCATGAAAGGTTAAAAGATATTGCTCTCAAGGGCTTTGAATTTCAGAGAATAAATATTACATTGTGAAATGGAGGCAGAGTCTAACAGAAATTCATTCAAAATTTATAAATATTTTAAGCACTTGAAGTTAATTCTTCATGCTTTGAACTAATACAGTGTTTTAAATGGTAGACATTTCATCCTGTTCTCGAAACCAATCTATAAAAATTGCAATTTCCCATTACTCACATCTTTTCTTTATAATTATCCCTAACCCTCTGAGGGCAGAGGGGGGCGGCCGTGTAGGTTTTAATGAGAGATTATCACCATGGATAGGAAGGAGCTGAGAAAAAGAAAGAAAAGGCCTAGGAAGAACATCTCCTCCTTTGCTCAAGCCTTCTCCACTTGGGGACTTTATGGGGGAATTCCACATCCTACGGAGCACAATCAAGGTTGAGCGAGAGAGGGAAAGCTACGCAGGTAGACACCCAAGTTCTCTCTGTCCTCCAGATGAAAACTCAGAATCATGGTGGGGATGTGGTAGACGCGGTAGAAATATGCAGAGGTTTGAAATTGTGTGTGTGTGTGTGTGTGTGTGTGTGTGTGTGTGTGTGTGTGGTGGAGGGGTCCTACTGACACACTTCCACAGGAATAGTGGGGACAGGCTGCAGGCCCCTGGGGGGAGAGGGGGTCTGTCCTCAGCCTCCCCTAAGAGTGAGTGCACAGCTTTGGATGGGGAGCTGTCTAGGCCAGTGGACCCCAGATGGGGCTGTTGATTCCCCATAGGAAGAGCATGGCCTGCGTGGGAACCAGAAGTTATCTGTAGTGGATGTGACGAGCTGAGAGGACAGCTGGACCAGAATAGGAGGGTTCTGAGTAGAGACCCTGATGTCCAGTGGTCAGCAGTAACATATCAGGGGGTTGACCACATGAGGCGCCCTGTGGCACAGTCCAGCAGAGGAGGACACCACCCAGACCAGCCACCCCTTCCTTCGTTGCCATGAGACTTTCAGCCTCCCCACACTCCTGTCCACCTTGAAAAGAAATGGAAGGAGGTAAAGAATAGTCCTGTGAGGGAACTGAACTTTAACTGACTGCTTAGTAGGAAGAGGGGGTTTAGGCCAGAAGTGATCAAGGCAGTATAAACTCAGAGGTTTGGTTCCTCTCTCCTTCCCCCCCTCTCCCAATATTCAGCATGGGATGGCTTGTCCTATTGCATCACCATAGAGAAATGAAAAAGTTGTGATTTTTTTTGGGGGGGGCGTACAAGTGAACTGAGTTTGAATAAATTTGAAATTTCTTGCTTTGATTGTTAACTTAGTTTTTTCTCCATATATATTAAACTCCCCATTCCTTAATCCATATAACATATTCAGAGGTCTTGGGACTGATCACGGTCTTCCTTTGGAGTTTTGATATCTGAAGCCAGAATGTTATTCTCACATATGGTTCAAGGCTTGCGTCCTATCCCTCCCACACTGAGTTTGTCATACAAGACAAAGGCAGGCCCTTGTTCATGGTTCAGAGGGACCTGAATTACACGACTTGAAGAACAGTTCTGTTTTTCAAATACTGACTGGAATCCACTCTTCACTTTGCAGAGCCTGTACCCATGTCCATGCTTGACTTTCTGTGGTTCCGTGTAGATGTGAAAGAGTACGTGGGCTGCGACATGTCAACTTAGTACTTGAATTGCATTTCCTTTCCAGAGGACTGCCCAAGGCTAAGGGCCACATGCCACTTCTATTAAATAATGACCTTGCATCCCAATTGCCTTTTAAGAGAAGATGGTAGAAGGAAAGAATGATGAATGGAAGACAATCCATTTTATGTTCCGGGTTCTCATCTCCACCTGCAGTCTTCTTAGGGATGAGTGAAGCTCTGTTTAAAGATAGCCATAACACAGGTGGTTACATAGAGATGCTAATGCCATCTCCAGAATGCATAATTAAATGTGTGTGCTGAGTAAAGCTTGCTTATTAATTTGCATGAATTGGGAAAAGGCGTAGTTGGTTCATAAAGTCTTCAAAAAAAATTTTTTTTTTTTCCTAAAGAGCAACGTTTTATAACCTTCAAGGTCAGTTAGAACGGTCCTTTCCTGTGTTGCCGTTTTTAGTGCAGAGGGCCCTGAAAACTCAAAATCATGGTGGGGATGTGGTGGACGTCCCTGAACAGACAGTGTTGCCTGAGCCAGAGCAGAGGGCCCTGAGGGGACGTGGGACTGCTTAGAGAGCATCTGAGGACAGGCAGGGACAGGCTGAGGGGCCCGGCAGCTGTTGTAAGAGACACCCTTTGTTCATTCTTTCATTTTAATCAAGCAGCTACTGAACATTTGTTCTGAATCAGGCATTGTACAAGTCTCCAAGGACAGAAAATTTAAGAAGACAATGACACAGTAAGGATAATGCTAAAGATTCCAGATGCTGTCCTAGAATTATGTCCAGCATACAAGGTCAGGGCACAAAAGAGCGAGGAGTGACCATTTCTCCTCGGGGGAAGGGAAGGCTCTGGAAAATTTCCCAAAGAAGTGACTTGACTTTGGGCTTAGCTCCAAGGTGGTGGAGGCGTGTGCTGTGTAATTGTTGGATGGGAAGGTAGCAAGGGTAAGGACCCTCAGGGGATGAGGTCCAAAGGCTTGAAATAGTCCTACCTCTTAGGGGCCAGGAACAGCTGGACTGCGATAGATGCCCTCACCAGAGGAGGAGGGTCCCTTCTTGAGTAAACACCTTATTATTTAAGAAAAGTCATCTTCCCCATGGACTTTTGCCTACATCTCATTGGCCGGAATGTGGTCACAGGGGGAGTTGTATATATTTAACTGGGTGTATCACGCTGCCAAACAAAATCAAGGTTTGTTATTGAAGAAAGGGAGTGGGTTGTCAGCTAGTCATATTGACTGCTATGACTTTGCTATTTATTATCATTATTATTATTATTATTATTATTATTATCATTATTTGATCTTGGAGAGTTCACTTCTTCAGGCCTCTACTCTAAAATGGGGACAGTAGAGATGACCTGGAAGGGTTATTTTGGGAATTAGAAATAATAGACATAAAGCACCTGGAACATAGTAGGTGTACAATAAATAGTGGGGGAAGGTTCTTGTTCCCCTCCCTTGGGTACCTGTCTACTTCCTTTTCCTTCTTTCCTCTCCTCTTTAGTTTTAGAGGATATCGAAACATCTGGAAAGCCTGGAGAAGATTATATTCTATAGCTTCAAATTCAGGTACTTTTCTCTTCGTCCTGACAGATAGTTCATAATTATCTTTGCTCTGTGATGAGGTGGTATCTTTTGTGAAAACATCATGTAGTGTTTATGATGATTTGTTTTTAGCCTCTAAAGTAAAGATGTAACTAATGCTTGAATTAAATGTCATCAGAGATAGATCTGAGACATAAAGAGTATGTCTGAAGAATTCAATGGAATTAGGTCATTTGAATGAATTCTTAGTAAAAGGGAAATGGGATTTATTAAGCAAGTACTTCAGGTCCAGTGCTAGATTCCTTATTTACTTCACTTTATTTAATACTAGCCACAGCCCTCTGAGGTAAGTATTGTTATTATTTGTTATTATCCTCTGTTATGGACTGAATGTTTGTGTCTTCCCCAAATTCACATGTTGACATCTAATCCTCAATATGATGGTATTTGGAGGTGGGCCTTTGGGAGGTGTTCAGGTCGTGAGAACAGAGATCTGATGGATGGAATTAGTGCCCTTACAGAAGAGACCCCAGGGAGCTCCCTCACTCACTTTACTGGTCTATGAACCAGGAACGGACCCCACACCAGATACCAAATCTGCTGGCGCCCTGATCTTGGACTTCCCAGCCTCCAGGACTCTGAGAAACACATTTCTGTTGTGTATAAGCTGCTCAACTTGTGGCATTTTGTGGCACCTCAAACTGATGAAGAAATCCTCTTTTAGATGAGGAAACTGAGTGTATTCATTTGGAATTGTATCTGATTGCTTGTAGCTGAAATAATAGTGGTGTAAATAAGGTGGACATTTGATTGTGTCTCATGTTAAAGGTGCTCAGTGTTCAAGGGTCAATCAAGGCTTAGAACAGTGGCTCCACAGCGATCCACGATTCGGGCTCCTCCAGGCTTTGTGCTCAACCAGGAGGCCTCACCTACAAGGTTGAGCCATGGTCAAGATGGCTGTTGTGCCCAAGAATAGATTGCTAGACCATAGTTTGTGCATATTTTTATCTTCATTAGATAACTCCATATTGTTTCTAAAAATACACAATCCTTCCCAGCACATGAGGAACATGTAAAAATATTGACGATGTAATAGTCCATAAAGCAAATCTCAACAAATATCAGAATCGTGATCATACAGACTATTTTCTGATGAGAATGCACTAGAATTAGAAGCCAATGGAACAGTAAGGACTCCATATATCTGGAAATTTTACAACAGATTTTTAAAAATAACTGATGAATTGAAGAAGAATTCATCCATATTTAAAATAAAGTGAAAATGAATTATGTCAATAGTTGTGGTATGCAGCTAAAGTTGTATTTAATGGAAAAGTTAGAATCATAAATGTACATGTGAGAAGCATTTGACTCAAGAATAGAGAAAAAGAACAAGAATATAAACTTAAAAAAATTGAAGAAAAGAAATAACAAACGCATACAGATATTAATGAACTAGAAAAAAGAGCAAAGGCAAGCAAGAAAACCAAGAGCTTGTTTTTGAAAAGAATAATAAAGTAAATATCTTATGGCAAGATTAAGCAGGAAAAATGAGAGAAGATGCAAATACATAAACTATAAAGGGAGCTGTAACTATAAATTTATTACAGATTTTAAAAACCATAAGAGAATACTATAAATAACATGTCTATATGTATACAACTTTCAAAACAATGATTTTCTAAGTATAAATTTGAACAGTTTATAAGGTATGGTCCTACCTTTTATTAAGTATACATTTACATGTAAATATACTAAAAATATTCAAATATTTTATAAGTGGTTAAGTATGGGATAAGAATTTAGAAATGTTTATTATTTTTTATTCATCCAAGTTTTCTAATTTTCAACAGTGAATGTAGATTTTAGTAAAACTAAGGACCAGTGGGGGAAGAACAAAGGGTCCCACTCCCTGCAGGACCCTCTCCAAGTTTACATTCTAGGCCCCCACTGTGGACCTTTTTACTCTGACAGAGAGGTCCTGGCTGCCACACTGTGTGCCGTCTTTAAATTCCATTCTCTACCTTTCCTTTTTCAGTGAGCTGTTTCCCCGACATCCAGTCTTTTTTACCCTAGGACATAGAGCTCTGCATCTGTGCACCCTTATCCCATCCCTGGCCCATCTCCAGTTCCCCAAAGTCCACTCTGGACCAGGTCAAAGGACATGGGATACTGGAGTCACACAGACATGGAATCAAATCCCCTGTCTGCCTCTCACTGGCTTTATGAACTGGGTTATCTTCCTTAGCTTCTGTCATCTTTAGTTTGTTGGTGATAATGCCATTTCATAAAAATGAGGTGAAGTATTATATATAAAGCAACCGCCATACACTAGGTGCTTTAGTAATGTTTGGTTTTGTAATAATTTTTTCTATCCTAAATGGATCACTGAACATAAGGGAAAAAAAGAGTCCATTTCCAGAAAACATTACAAAACACACAAAATTTAATAAGCCCTTCATTTTGCTCTTTTTCATACAGTTGGGCAGGATATTGATATGCCAGACTTTTGTTAAGTAGGACAACCCTGAACGTTAATTTGGACTCTGAGAGCAGCAGAGAGTGTGTTTCTTGAGTAGAAAGCTCCCTCATGTGACATGCTATTTTATGTCTCCCTGCCTCTCCCTGCACGGATGATGTCCAGTGAGATGAGTCAGAAAACGAGTAAGGAGGGCCCCAGACTCTCCAAGAACCAGAGGTTTTCCGAGCACTTCAGCATACATTGCTGTCCGCCATTCACCTTCCTCAATTCCAAACGCGAGATTGTGGACCGGAAATACAGCATCTGTAAGAGTGGCTGCTTCTACCAGAAGAAGGAAGAGGACTGGATCTGTTGCGCCTGCCAGAAGACCAGGTAAGGGGTCTGCACTGACCACGCAGCACCTGGGCTGGGCGCCGGCCTGTCGTCGCTCAGCTCCAAGCCCCGCCCTTCCTGTCTACTCCGCTCTGTGATGCTGGGGCTGGGGTTCTGCAAGCTTCTCTTCCCCCCAACCCCCTGACAGCTGGCTCCCTGTTAGGTTCTGCCATTGCAAGGTACTAGAGGGAGACTGGACGGTGGGAGGGGGAGCAGGGCCTGCCTTCCTGTTTGTCAGCAGCCCTTAAGCAGCAGAGAGCCTCGACTCCAGCTTCCAGCTTCTTTTGGCCCTCTCAGACCCAGCCGCCGTGCAACGTCCCCTCAGAGGCCCAAGCACCAGCCAGCTGCACCCCCCGCGGTGGTCAGAGCACCAGCCAAGCCACGGTCCCCTCCGAGGAGGTCTGAGCCACGGTCCCCTCCCAGGAGGTCTGAGCCACGGTCTCCTCCGAGGTCTGAGCGTCAGCCACGCCCCCGCCCTGAGGTCCGACCACCACCAGCCAAGCAGCGCCCCCCTCAGAAGTCCAAGCCGCCGGCGCCGCAGCGCAGCAGCCCCCAAAGAGGGCCAGGCACCAGCCGTGGGGGGTCCCCCATCAAAGCTTCTAGGTTCTGGTAACACCATCTCTTCCCTTTTGTTCCCCCAGCTCTAAGGTTAGTAGCTGCTTCCTGTGTTTGCTAACACCTGGGTTATCTCAATGGCCCCCTCAAACCCGTGTCATCAGTTCCCTGCATTAAATCCCCTTTGTTTAAAATACCTAGTGTGGCTTCTGTTTTCCTTACAGAGGCCATTGCTACATGCTTCTGATGGCAGTATCCGTCATTTTCTTTGCCTAGTGGGACCAGAAGTTATTAATTTACCAATGCATAGTATCAACCACGGTAACAGATTGAGTCAATGAGGACCTTGATTCCTGTGCCTCAGAGAAAGGCGGGAGGGTCGCTCTAAGGAATATCTGTGTAGGTGTGAACGGGGAGGGTCAGCCACTTTGCCCACCCATCCTGCCAACACACTTCACCGGCGCTCATCTCACTTATTCAGTCATCCAATAAACTGGATCGCATACCTACAGAGTTCCATACACCGTGCTGGAGGGAGGAATATGGCAGTGAAGAGGCCGGGTTGTTTGTCATTCACCAGGACCAAACAAGAGAATAGCTGCTCATAGTGTAGGGTGTAAATGCCCTGATATTATCACAATCCGTGTGTACATTGGGCTGCGGGAGCCTGGAGCAGGGCTCTGCTCACAGGGGCTTCACAGAGGTTAGGCCCCTCTATGAATGAGGAATGAGTAATGGGATGAGGAATGAGTAAAAGGAGGTGGATCCGTGTAGAGAGAAAAGTGAGTCAGATTTTCATCTGCTCCATCTTAGGCAGGTCAGCTTTTTTTTTTTTTAATAGACTTAATTTTTTAGAGCAGTTTTAGGTTCACAGCAAAATTGAGCAGAAGGTACAGAGATTTCCCATGTACTCCCTGCCCACACACATGGCAGGCCAACATTTTAGTCCTGTTAATATTTGGAAATGAATCTGCTTTATAAGTTAACCGTGGGTGTTAATTGTATTTGTATAGATTCTCACATCTACTCTGATCCCCACCCAGCCCCTGCCTTGCACAGTACTGCGTGTGCAGGTCACATGATGCTTACAGATTTAGTAGGCAGGAGAATCAACCGGGGAGCATGTTAAAGGTGACCCCAGAGAATCTAATTCCTTGAGTCACTGGTGAGCTCTGGATTTTCAACAAGCAATCTCCCCTCCCCCAGCATAGTGGCCTGGACCACAGTACACAGACCACACTTTGAGAAGCAATGATCTACATCAGTGGTTCTCAACCTTCCTAATGCTGCGACCCCTTAATACAGTTCCTCATGTTGTGGTGACCCCCAACCATAAAATTATTTTCATTGCTACTCTATAACTGTAATTTTGCTACTGTTATGAATCGTAATGTAAATATCTTTTTGTTTTCCAATGGTCTTAGGCGACCCCTGTGAAAGGGTCGTTCGACCCCCAAAGGGGTCGCGACCCACAGGTTGAGAACCGCTGATCTACATCATCTGTGAATCAATGATCCACATAATCTGTGATGTGTAGTAAAGAAATGTGGAAGGTGACACATTTATGGTTCCCAAAGTGAAAGCATTAAAGAGAACAAGATCAGGCGGTTAATTTCTGAAGGAAAGAACAGGCTACTAGTCATGAAATCAAGGCCTCCTAAGGGGCCTGAGTAAAAGGGGCCTAGGACAGGTAAGTTTGGATATATTGAAGTGGTTAGGAAATGGGCAGAGGAAATTAATTGTATAAGAGGCATGTCACCTATGGCGGTGGCTTCAAGCCATCATCTAAAGTGAGTTGTGTGATGGCTTTGGTAGATGGAGTTCACGTAGGACATGGAAAGGAGATGGGAGACAATGAAAGCAAACTTCATGGGAGTCACAGACTTATATAGATTCAGCCTTGCTGGTTTTATTCACCTAAACTCAAGAGATATTCTAGTGTTGGTGTATTTTGACTCCCTCAGTTAACTGTTCTCAGTGGCTATCAGAGGAGGCACCATGACATGCTGTCATTGCCTCCTCAATCATTGTCCCTTACCTGGGACCCAGGGACCTGATGGCCTCCATTCATAATGTCCCACAACATCACAATGCACCATCTAAGCCATTCCTAAGACGCTCATTTTTCCTTCTCACATCCCCAGATGTCCTAAGGTAATGCATTGGAGCCATCACTCCACCATGTTGTTTATTCCTTCTATTGATACTGGTTGACACTCCTAAATCAGAGAGTGAGGGGAAAGTTAACGGGGAAAAAAAAAATCACTCCTAAGCAGAGCTACTAAATTGCACTTGAAGAAAGGGTCACAAGGTTTTCTGAAACAGCCTTGCTTTCTAAAATGGTGCCATTCCTGAGGTCTGACCTTTAGAGGTCAAACAATTTGGACAAACGCCTTTTGAGTCTTTAGTAACTCTCTTGGATGGATTACTCAAAATCCAGAGAATATTTAAATTTTAGGACCCAATTTATGACTCCCTGCGTCCAGATTGAACATGGCAGTGTTCTCATATTTGATGTGAGGAAATCCTGGCATCTCCCTCTTAGTTTCTTCTGCTCTCAGTTCTTCATGACTATCTTGTACCAAATCGAGCCCTGCTTACCAGAAGCCTGGAGGACCAATCCATGTCCACAGGTATTTTCAGGTCTATTCATGAAGACCATGGGCACAGCACTGCACCAGGTTCTGGGCAATCAAGGGAAGTGAGGCCCACCCTGGGGCCAGCTGCTCCCTTGGGGTTTACGAGTGGCCCATCCCTCGGTGATGCTGCTGTCCCTCCAGGAACCACCCTGAACTCGACTGCCTCCACCCTCAGCCGATCCCTCTTCTCCAGTCTCTTGTCTCATGTCAGCAGATGGTAAAATCAAAGCTGAGGAAAGGTAACTGATTGTCAGAAGGTACAGGTTCTAAGTGGCCTCAGGTTCTCCACGGTATTTGGTCTTTAGGAGGCAAAGAATGCTCTAGTTTTGAGTCTCCAACTGAAGCAAGCCAGGTTTGGTGTTTTATGGACCACCCACCATCCGGGCGAGGCATGGCTGCACCTTGCTTTCTGAGGCTTAGGACAAACGCACAAACCGAATGCCTACATGCTGGTTACACTGGTAAATGGAGCAGAAACTCCCCTTTCCCTTGTAACTACAGACGATTCATGTTTGTATCTTGTTTTGGGTTTGTTTGGAAAGGATGATGCACTGTAAACACTTACGTGCCTGACAAGCTAGCATTTACTGCAGAAAAGCACTGACCAGGAGCAATTAGTACGAGGGGTTGGAGAATATGGGCTGACAGAACCGGGTATCGGGCCAGCTGCTAAGGTCAGGCTGTTAGGCAGAGGTAGGCTGCCTGCTTTTTGGCTATGCGTACCCCAACTTTCCCCAGACATTTTCTATGACATGGCTTGTCTTCCTTTTGTCCTTCCTGATGCCAAGAGGTACACTCTCCATTTTCTCCTTCCTGAAAGTTATGGACATTCTCTCTTTGTGCAAGGTTGGGTAAACGAGCCCTCTGTTTCTTCAGGCAACAAACCCTGACTTTATAGTCATGTCTTAGAAAGACCTTCTTTCTTACATATTGGTGGGATAATTCCATCCAGGCATATAGTATGCTTAATTTTATCTCAATGGTTATGCCCTGGCAATCAATTTTGGTCTCATCAGCCAAACAAAATCAGATATTACCCCATCATTTTCCAGGTAACAGCGGAGTTAGGAAAGGGGCCTGAGCACTGTGTTCTCTTGCCCTGCCTGCCTCTCAGGTTGCATTATTGCGTTTGTGAGTTTGGGTCACTGAACTCTTGAGTCTTGCTCTACCTAAGTCATAAATTCTTTCCCATTCAGGAGCAGGCCTTTGCCTGCATGGTGGTCCCTACAGCACAATGCCTGCAGAGCAGGTGCTTACGCAGCGGTCTGGGTTAGCCAGAGAGGCCTCCAGTCCTATGAGCTGTGTGTGTTTTCTCAGCCTAATAGCTCCTCCCTGGACACATGTCCTTAATCTAGACCACATAGTTAAGCAGTCTCTCTCTTTAATAGCCTGCATCCCACTGTCGCCCATCCTCCTGCTAGCCTCATTTCACAAATCCCTGATTCTAGAACAAGCTGATGACTCACCTGCTGAGCTCCATCGTGGATGCTGGGCGTGGCTAGGAAAGGCTTTGTAGCCTGAAAGGTTGGTGTCACCACAGATGGATGAGCCCCAGCCCCTCTCCAGACTAGCCTGCCTCCACCAGCCCCTCACATTCATCGGGATATACATCTGTCTTTAAATCCTTCCCCTCAGGTTCAGAGGACAAGGCATTTTTTTCTGGTCAGGTCAACCCCTTCCTCCACCACTCACACATGTGATTTTCCTCGCTCCACCTGTCTCTTCCAGGGTCTTGCACGTACATGTATGTGAGATACAAATCATCCCCTCCCCCCAAACATATCCCACATATATGAAGTTTATTACGATATAAGTTGCCTGCAGTAAAATTCAGCCTTTTCAGCAAATAGTTCTACACACATAACCATCACCACAATCAAGATACAGAATAATTTCATCACCCCCAAAATATCCCCTCCTACTTCTTTGTGGTCAACAGCCAAACCCCTGAAAAACACTGACCTGTTTCCTGTCCCCAGTTTTGTCTTATCCAGAGTGTCATATGAATGAAATCATACAGTATGTACCCTTTGAGTATGGCTTCTTTCACTTAGCATAATGCATTTGAGATTGAACCATGTTGTAGCGTGAATACGTAGTTCTTTCATTTTTATGGCTGAGTAGTATTCCTTTGTATCGAAGTACCTATCACATTTTTCCATTTGCCAGTTGAAGAATATTTAGGATGTTACCAGTTTTGGGTGATTATGAATAAAGCTGCTATAAACAGTCAAGTGAGCACAAGTTTTCTTTTGAGTAAATAACTAGGATTAGTATTGTTGGGACATACGGTAGGTGTGTGTATTTAATGGTTTTCCCAAGTGGGGGTATCATTTTGTTCTCTGTCTGGCCATGTGGGATGCTCTGCATTCTTGCTGGCACTTGGTATTGTCAGCTTTTACAATTTTATCCATCCTAATGGGTGTGTAGTAGTATCTCATTGTAGTTTTAATTTTGCATTTTCCTAATGACTAATGATGTTGAGAATCTTTTAATGAACTTGTATATCATTCATTAAAGACATTTATTGGTGAAGTGTGTGCTGAATCTTTTGTCCATTTTAAAAATTGAGTAATTTTCTTATTACTATGTTTTGAGATCTTTAAATATATATATAAACACACGTCCTTTACCAAATATATGTTTTGCAAATGTTGTCTCCTAGTCTGTGACTTGCTTTCTCATTTTATTAAGAGTCTTACGTTGAACCAAAGTTTCAAATTTTGACAAAGTTCAATTTATCATTTTTTTCTTTTATGGGTTATGTTTTTTGTACTGTACTGTAAGAATTCTCTGCCAAGGTCACAAAGACTTTTCTCCCTATGTTTTCTCCTAGAAATTTAAAATTTTAGGTTTTACATATACATTATTATGCATTTTGAGTTAATTTTTTCTAAATGGTGTGAGGTATGAATTGAAGTTCAATATTTTTTGTATATGTATTTTCAATTGTCCCAGCACCATTTGTTGAAAAGGTTTTCCATTAAATTACTTTTGCAATTTTGTTGAAATTCTGTTGATCATAACATGTGAGTTACTTTCTATTCTGTTCCGTTAATTTATATCTTTCCTTTCACCAATATAACACTTGATTACTGTAGCCTTATAGTAAATATTAAAATCAATTAGTGTGAGTTCTCCAACATTGTTTTTCATTTTTGAAATTGTTTCAGATATTCTAGTTTCTCTATTTTTCCATGTAAATTTTAGTGTCAGTGTGCCAAGTTCTACACTAGATCCTGGTAGAATTTTGAATGGGATTGTGTTGTGTTTATAGGTCAATTTGGGGAGAATTGTAACATGATTGAATCCACTAACATGGTATATATCTCTCCATTCATTTAGGTCTTTTTTGCTTTGCAGTTTTCAGTGTACAGATCCTGCACATATTTTGTTTGCGTGATATCTAAATACTGTATACTTTTAGGGGCTAATAAAATAGTACATTTTTTAATTTCAGTTTTTAATGGTTCATTGCTAGTATATAAAAACAATTGACTTTTGTATATTGATCATGTGATCTTGCTAAACTCACATATTCTACCTTTTTTTAATTGGTAGACTCTGGCATTTTATACATTGACAATCATGTTGTCTGTGAATAGAGACAATTTTACTTTTTAAATTTTCAATCTGTGTGCTTAGTTTTTGCATATGGTTTAAATTGCTATTTCACTGAGAACATATGCTTCTCAGAGAGATATTTTAACAAGATTATGTCCTTGACAAATTGGCTTTCTGGGTCACTCAAAGGGGTTAGAGCCCAACCAGATAAGAGCAGATGGCCACCCCTTCCCTGGGCTCAGTTTGTGCCTCCACTGCTGCGTTTTGGACACCCTCGTGTCCATCTCCCATGCTGGAGTGGGCACACGTCAGGAGTAGGCACTCTCTGTGACACTCATATCCCCAGGGCCTGACTCAGGGCTTGACCCATGTTATTGACTAAGTGAGACTTATAAATACACCTAGTCTGGCACAGTGCAAAGGGTAAGGGCTGTGGCATCAGGTCTGAGTCTGAGCTCTTCTGAGAGTCCAAGTTGCTTATTCTCTCAAAACCACATTTTTTCCTCCCTCATCTGTAAAATGACATCACCTATCTCATTATTTGTCATTAGAAAGTGCTTAGTTTAGCGCCTTCTAGCGCGAGGTAAGTGGATATCATTAGAACTGTCACTTCATGGGTACATTGTGTCATTGAGTCCTAACTACTAGCAGATCCTCCTCAACTTAGTGGCTTCCACTTGTTGAAATGGGATTCAAGGGCTTTGAATTCCACTGATTGCCACCCCCAGGCCATCAATGTGGTCGCCAATGCCAGTGAGGTGCCCAATAGACAATTAGATGCTTATATTATCTAAGATGCCATAGTGGTTGATTGCAGGGGTACCTGAACAGGGTGATGTCCAGGATCTGTGGGCTTCCATGACACTGTCAGCATCCAGGGTTTTATAGTCGGCAGGATCTATGTGGAGTTCTTATAGGAACAGACTGTCTCATGTTGGGAGGTTATGGAGGCAACCCCAAAATGTAAAGATTCCCTCCCACATTTCAAGGGATGTGTTCCAATCTTCCAGGCTACCACTCACTCTGCAAATTTCAGTAAATTATTTCTTCATTTATTTATTTGTCCTGGTAGCTTCAATCCTGCCTGAAGGGCACCAGCATTGTTAGCTTGATATATAATTTGGGGTTTTGGAAAATGCTATTGTTAATACCTGGATATGAATATGAATTTTATTTCTAAATTTTTAAAGCCCTCAAATCATGGGAAAAGCTGTGATTCCCATAAGTTAAGTCTTTAGTGTCAAAGTATGGCACATTCCTCATGCATGCATCTTTGTGTTCTTTTGTTTTTCTTGTTTGTTTTTTAAATTGAGAACTTGGATGATGTTCCGAAACTATTTGACATAGCCTCATTTTGAAGGTGGTCGCATCAAGTTCTGTTGTATAAAATAAATTGCAGTTAATATAATATAATCTCTCAGTTGGAGAATAAGCTTGCAAGTAATGCTTGTCTGGGCCACATTTTCATAATATCGTTCCTGGGTTTTGTTTATTTCCTTCTTGAACACAATGTGTTCCACATCAAAATAGGAACATGTCTATGATAATTGTCACCCCAATAAACTTTAATATAAACCATAAGAAATTATGGGATCTAAAAAAAAGGAACATGTCAATATGTCAATATGGTTACAATTTCATAATGTGAGTGCATATACCTATGTGTGTATGTGTGTACATTCACGTCCTCATGTCCATGGGCAGTAAAACTAGTTGCTTCTAGGACTGGGCTGGCACTTTGATTTCCTTTGTGTCTTTCTGTTTCAAAATTACCTGCGATGACTAAAGACAAAAGCAATAAAAATAGAAGGACTTTTAAAGGATATCATTCCCAGGCTCAGGCCAGGAAAAAAATATTATATTATTTTGGCCAGCTTCTGCCAGGGTTGAGAAATTAAAGAGAGGGATTCTAAGGCTGGATTTCCCAGAAGAATAATGAACTCAAAGCTAGTCTATAAATTCACAATGACATTAACTGAGCATGGAGAGTGTATCACTCACCAGTGTATCACTGTGGTTTTTTATGTTTCTCTCTGTAAATCAGATTGAAAAGGAGGAGCAAGCCGACCCCAAGAAAGAAGTGACCAAAGAGGACTTTCAAGTGAATGGATGGCCTCAGCTCATGGACTCACTGCTTCCTGACCCTCCTGCCCATGCTCAAGCCGGGCAGCCTGCCTGGAGGTGAGAGCTGCCTCTCTGTGTTACGGTCCAGTTGGTGGGTCCCACCAGCACCCTTCGGCCTCCAGAATCAGTGTGTAGTTCTGGTCTCACCTGCAGTCCTTTCTCCCCCAGGGTATGCACAGACCCCAGGGTCTTTGGATCAGGATGGCTCAAGTGCCAGCCCATATATTGCCCTCCAACCTCAACTCCTTTCTGTCCCTGGCATCCTGTTCCCAATCCTTGACCCTGTTTAGATCCTTGAATGCAGACAGTCCTCTATTTGCGTTTCTCTCGCCCCTCCGCACCCCCCACGTGCTATCTGGTTTCCATTTGGCCTCCCTAATCAGTTGCCAGTGCTAGCCCACCGTCAGAGGCACAACTGCCTCTGGAGAAGATCCAGATTCTTTTCTGAGGAAGATATTTGGCTAGCAAATAATGCAGAGATGCGAAGAAATTCCCAGGGAGGGTCTGACTTTTCTAAATCTACATGTCAGATGCAGACAAAGTGCTGTGTCAGAAGCCGAGAGAAAAGGCACGGAGGAGCAGCTGCCCCCCATTCACTCCCCAGGCGCCCATCTCCAGCCTCCACAGGGGTTTGTGTCTCCTCCTTGCCCCCACCTGGCAGAGAGCAAATACTCAAAGGCACTGCTTTTGAGCTTGTCCGGCCCATCAGGAAGGTCGCAACTCCAGAATGCATTACTTTGTGAACTGTGTAGCTTTGGGCAGGTTATCAACTGCAATCATGACGCCCCACCGCCATTCCCTCTCCTGAGGGGTCCTGGAAGACGGGCCCTCCATGAGGCAGGAGATACTGCCCTCCCACCTCTTTCCCTTTGCTACATGGACAGATGCCCCAAGGGCACTTGCACAGACTCAGAAGGGGTGCTCAGCTTCTGTTTTCAGGCCACAGTGCCCCAATTCCTGGACAGGGTTGAAACCTGGTCCCTCTGTGCTCTCTGTAGCTGGGCCCCTTCACATTCCTGTCTGATACCATAGTGGGATCAGGAAAAACAGGAGAGGAGCTTGGCCTGGCCAGGGGTGGGGGAGGGGTGTGGGTGGGTGGGGTGATAATTAAGATAATTAAGTGGGAGAGGGGTGAGTTAGGGGAGATTAAGCAGTCCAAGACTCCCTTCCCTGTGTAGGAGGCCATTCAAGGCTGTGTGAGGGTCTGAACCCAATTATAATGAAGCAGGGTTGGGGGTTGGCTTCCCACCTCATCTCTGTTTTATTCCCAGTCTCTTAGGAAGGACTTTGGTCTCCAGTATGAGCTCTCAGTCAGGGCCATAGGAACTAACCCCACCCTCCTGGTTCCACCACATCTACACACACCTACACACCTACACACACCTACACACACACACACCTACACGCACGCACACACACCTACACACACACCTACACACACACACATACCCCTACACACCACACACACACACCTACACGCGCGCACACACACACGCACACACATCTACACACACACACCTACACACACACACACACCCGCTGCAGGGAGGAAGTTTGCCCACAGGTTAAATGGAGGCTCCTCAGCTCATCCTGTGGATTGGTGTGTGTGTGTGTGTGTGTGTGTGTGTGTGTGTGTGTGTGTGTGTGTGTGTGTGTTGGGGAACTTGGCTTTGGGAGAAAAACTTTGGGCTCTCATTTTCTCTCCCAGGCACAAATACTGGAGAGCCTCTCCAAGTCCCATGTTGGTTCCATGCCCCCTGAGGACCCTGACCACTGAAGTTGAGGACAAGAGAACAGTGCACTCTAACACACTCCTTCTGGGGCCTGCCTTTGGCTTTGGGCTCCATTGTGTGCCCAGCAAGAGCCTTAGAGGACCCTCTCTTGGCCATTTTCCCTCAGCTCAGAGCTGGGGGATGGAGGGAGAGGGGTTGGAGTGGATCCAGTGGGGTTCATTCCAGAAGCCACCCCAGCTTGTTTTAGGCTCAAGCCTGGCTGATTTGTTTGTTGACTCTTAAAGTTGGAATTAAAGGGCGAAAGATGCAGGCAATAGACACTTCCCCCACTTCTCCCCACCTCCTGCAACCCTTTCCTACTTAGGAGATCCATGGAGGGGAGGTGAAGCCAGGACCCAGACCGTAACAGTATAAGGTTCTTCCAGGCTTGGCTCACTTTGCTTATGACCCAGAAGCCCTTTCCCTACCCGGAAGACCACACTTTCTTGCCTTCTTTCTGTTCCTCCTTTTGTATGTATAAACAAGATGTTGTCATAGCTACTCAGTGCGTGTGCCCATCTTGGGGCTCTGTTGTTGCTGATTCTGTCTTTGATGCTCTGGCCTAATATCTTTGCACTGTTGCGTTCAACTTAAATATCACCTCAGAGCCACTTCCCTTGGAAACAGAGTGGTTTCCATAGTTACTCTCTAGTCCATTACTCGAGTTTGTCTTCATGGCACTTATCACCCTCTGGAATGATCTTGTTTATTGCTTGGCTCCCCTCCCGCTCCTAATGTAAACTCCAGGATTGTCAACACCTGGTTCCTGTTACATCCTCAGCTCCCAGCACTAGTAAGAACTCAATAAATGCTTGTTGATTGAATGGATGTTTGTTGTTTTTTTATAGGAATAATTTTTCAAAAGTTTAGATGCTTTTGAGGAGTCAAAGGTGTCTATGGTATTTAGCAATAGGAAATTCGGTGACCTTGTAGGAGACCCTCTGCATGGGACAAATGGGAGGTGAGGATCAGGAGTTCATGAAGGTAGATGCAACCCCTCAACGAAGCTTGATCATGAAGGTTAGAAGACAGAAAAGAGCTGGAGTTTTCCATGAACTCAGGAGACACTTTTGAGCGTGGTGAACGCTACTGGGAAGAAGGAGGAGGAGATAACTGATGAAGTCAAGAACTGAAGATGCGGGAGGGGGCATAGATGAGGGGATCAGGCGTGGATCAGGGGTCCCTTTTCATTGGAAAAAGAAGGAAAGGACAGTATAGACTCTGGTGGGTTTGCAGGGTCCGTGGTAGGAGCTTGAGTCAATTCCTACCTGTGGCTTTGATTTTCTCTTGAAGTGGGAGATGAAGTGGCTTGTTTACAAAGGCGGGTACTGGGGTTGGGGTCAGAGAGATGAGAACAGTGGAAAGGATTATAAAGAAATCACTTCATCCCAGTTCTTTGTAATCTTCTTAAAAAAACCCTTCTCCGGATGAATGGAATTGAATTGAATTGAGTTAATTAACTGACAATTCAAAGCAATATTTTGCCACTAAGTTGTGGCCTACAATTTCATATTTAGATGTAAATCCCAGATCTAAACTTGAGACCCATATAGTCTCGGAGGGAAGATGAAAGAGTTGGATAAAGAAAGGCAAAGTCTAACCTTCCCAAGGAATAAAGCATCACAAGGAAGCTTTCACTATACGAAGTTGCAAAATTTCTGACAGCTCACAGAGAGATGGGGTTGTGCTGTGAGATGGTCCTTTGTTGAATGTCATCTGGGCTGCTGTTCTAACATCAGAGGAATGTGGGAACTCATGCCTGGAAGGGTCCTAGGAGGGCTTCTTGTCTGACTTCACAGCACATGTCTCAGTCCCATTAATAACACCATTAACAGGTACTTATTATGTCTGCTTAAATGAAATGAAGTGTTCTTAATGAACAGCGATGATTCTGTTGATCCAACAGTAGGGTGTACAGTTGTGATTTGGAGAGGTTTTGCATACTCACTCTTTTTATTTGTACTACAGGACATACTTGCAGGAATGTTGGTTAAGGATAGTGATAAAAATAGCTTCTTTTTACTGAGCATCAACTATGGATCTATCCTATCCTACAGGGTGTTTTGCGTTTGTACATGGGAGAGGTTGGTCATGGCCCCCAGGACCACTGAAACCATGACCTTGACCTTATTGCCATCAGACTGCAACCTAGAAGTTTCCAATCTGAGCTTAGTAGAGCCCAAAGGTAGTTGGAGATGCCACCTTAGGAGATGAGCGGAGATGAAGTCACCAGGGATCCTGGCCACAGCTCCGCATCATCTAAGGCAGTTTTTAGGATCTATGCCAACTTCTAATTTTATGTAGGTAAAGGTTTCCGCTGGTATAAAAGAGTCTGACGATCTCCACTTTTCATGACTGAAAGCAAATATTGATGGAATAGTTACGTTAGTGATTATTTAAATGATTTAGTGAATTGAAGAGTGTACTGTCTGGCATTACATCATAGGTGTGGGTTTAGCTGACTGGAATTTTGGTGACTGCTTATTTCTTCTTATGCGACAGTTCACCTACCATCAAGTTGAAGGCTTTGACTTTCAACAGCTGGCTAGGTTTATTCAAAGTACAATGAGCAAAAGCACAAATTAGTAAACAGTCTTCATAATTATACCTATACTTTTACTTTTGAACAGATTTAGGTAAAACTATTACATTCAACATGGTACTAAAATTTATTTCTTTTGCATATGCTACATTAACTGTATAAACGACGTTAATAATGCATAAAGTAGGCTTGAGGAGAGTGGAGAAAATGGGAGGCTACAGCTAAAGTGGTGGCCTTACTTCAGAGCAAATCAAATATCTGTCAGATTTGAATGCTTTGGCTCAAAAGATCTCTTATATAACTAAATTCTAAAAAAATGTTAAATCTAGTTACCAAAGTGATATTCACATTGGATTTTGAAGACCATGAACTGTCCCAGGAGTCCATTCATAACCTGTGGCTGGAAGCCTGTGGGACCCAGTGGTATCTGGAGAGGCTTGTGGGCTCCTTTCTGGAACCCAAAGTCTGTAAGTATTTTGTAGAGAGAAAGGTATATAATCTCAAGTAATTAGGGTCCAGAAAGAAGATACTCTCTTATGGCAAGAGGATCTAAATTTCTACAGGTTCATTTAGTCAGGAGATGTAAGTTCACCAGGAAGAATGGGTGGGAAAGAGTGTCTGGGTCCATTTTTGGGAAGGTGGTTAATGGTGGTGGAAGTCCTTTCTGTGATGGGTTAATGACAGATATTCCTGATAAAGACAGAATGTTATTTGCATCACCTTTAGCCAAACCAGCCCTCACTGCAATAAGTAAGGGCTTCTTGGGCCATTCTTTGTTAATGAAGCCACACTAGGGCCAATATTAGAGGTAGATATTTTATCAGATATTGAAAATAGTGCCTTGGCCCACGTGGTGGTCCATGAACAGCCTCGTGTTGACCTCCAGGAAAATCTATGTGACTAAGGATGAAATAGAGCTATCCCTAATGTGTCCACTGTCAAGGACGGTTGGGTAGTCTGTCATCAGAGGGTGTGGGACCCAAAAGACATTCTGGCAACTGCTCAGCAATTAAATCCTGTTTGCATGCAGATCAGGGGATAAAGTTTTTCCTGACACCTCATATGTCCCTCTACCTAGGGGCAAGTCCATTCACAACAAATTCATTTCTAGGCATGCCTCTTCCATATCAAGACAATGGTCCAGTGGGGAACACAGAGCCTCAGCCGTCACCAGGAGTGCCCCATGTGAGCCCGCCTCTTCCAGGACCTCTTATTGATGGGCGTTATTTAGTAGATCTCCCTGGAGTTTGTTTTATTTCTGAGATCTCTGAAGTAAACCAGTCTTTGAGTTTGCGACCTGCAATTTCTCTCAGGAAGCAGCATCTCTCTTCTCTAGAGGAAGACATTGTGATGCACCAAAAAGAAAAAAGCCTGGTGTCCTGGGGATTTTTTTTCTCCACATGGTGATCCAGCAGATTTTTACATAATCTGTTTTCACTATAATTCACCCTCCATTTCTTACATTCTCTATGAACATCCTCCCTTTGCAGCTGACAGCTTCTTGTCCTTTTTTTAAAAAAGATTTTATTGGAGAATTGGGGGAGGGGAACAGTGTTGGGGAATTGGGGAAGGGGACCAGCCAAGTTGTTATTCTTCAATCTTCGTTGTGGAGGGCGCCAGTCGCCATCTGGCTTCTGGTCGGCAGCTCATGGCCTCTAAGCTCAAGGCGCAGAGTTCAGTCTTAGTTACTGGTGGGAATAGCCACCATCCTATGCGGGAGGCAAACCAGCAGCTTTGTTGTTAAGAGCGCACGCCCTATCCACTGAGCCATCTGGGTGGCAGCTCAGCCCAAGGTGCTGAGTTCAGTCTTAGTTGCGGGTGGGTGTAGCCCACCATCGAACAGACAATCTTGTTGTTACACCAGCTGAGCCATCCTGCCACCTGTTGGCAGTTCAGTGACAGCTCAGCTTGGGTGCAGCGTCACTGGCCCATGTGGGAATTAAACCGGTGGCCCTGTTGCTCAGAGCTCATGCTCTTAAACCAACTCTTAACAAACTGAGCCACTCTGCCGCCCCCCGCTTCTGGTCTTTTTCTTCTGGCTTAGAAGCTTTCCGAGTCAGGTCCTTTAACAGAGTCTTAGTTTTCTGCTGTTGGGGATCATTAAAGATCTCTACTTCCAGCTGCAAGATTTTGCATTTGTTTTCAACCAGAGCTTGGGCTGGAAGCAGTAAAAAAAAAAGAATCATTTTCCAACTTTTTTCTTTCAGCGGATATCTTGCTGACACCTCATTATTTGGCTTGGCATGTAAATGATGTCTGTTTTCTTCAATTCTTGATACCACCTGACCGGGTGGTTTTGGTACCACCTGACTTCCCTCACTTTTCATCTTCTTACTGTGGTAATCTGTCAACTAACTTTTTAGTTTTAAAACAACCCTGTCCATGTCTTTCCTAAGATTTTCTTCTCCTCTGATGCAAAGATTCAAAATCAAGTGGTTTCAGCTACATAACATTTATTCAGAATGTCAACTTCATTATTTTTCTAAGCCATAGCTTCTGAGGTTTGAGATATTTTTTGGCTTGCTCAGTGATCTCAGTAGGTAGGGCTGGGCAGGCAGGAACGCTACGGGCAGAAGGATAACCACACCCTTCTCTCCACGTCAGGCTCCAGTGCACCCTCCAACTGCCACTCTTCTTTTGGCTTCTGTCTTCCTTCCATCTCTTTCCCTCACTCATCTGTTTTTCTACAACGTAATTTCACAAAAGACTTTGGCTTTTAGAATTCTGGCAGAGCTACTAACAATCTTTCTATATTTTTATTGTTCTGGGATTCACACTGTCTTCACCGCTTTCTTCAGATCTTGTTCCCAGGTGTTAATTGAGATTCTGCCCAAACCAGCATCACTTTGACTCATGCGGGTCCCCACTGTCAGGTGACCAAGAATGGCCCCTCATAGGGCTGCTGACCCCCAGCCAGATACATCCTGACTTCAAGTCTCTCAAATCCCGGTTTTCTTCACTTCCCCAGATGACCTGGTGCCAAGGTGCCATCATGTCTTGTAGACGATGGTTACATTATTGCTGAATCTACCTCCTTAACTTGTTTTCACCTACAGTTTTAATTTGCTGTTACTTGCATCGTCTCAAATCTCCAAAAGTCCTCAGCGAAATGCTTGAACCCAGCTTCTCACGTGCTACCTTCCTTTTCTTCTGGTGTAAGTTTCCCTTTGGTGAGCTCTTGGGATCCTAATTAGAGGATATCTGCAGTCCAAAGGAAGAGCTGGAAGCATTTAGCACCAAAGGTTTTATTTCTTCCCTGAAAAGCTTCCTCTCTGAACTCTCAGAGGCAAGGGGCCAAAACAAAGAAGATGCATTTCCAAAACATGGAGACAGCAAGGCTGAGAGTGTCCAGAGCTCTTTCGGTCTTTCTTCATGTGCCTACTCTTGCCAATCATGTGACTGGAGGGAATGAGGTTCTAGGATTTGCCCAGCTTCAGAGACCTACCCACCCACCCCTTTGGTCAAGGAACAGTATATATTTCTGTAGAAGGTGGGGAGACCAGTCAAGAATGCACAGATCCAAGCACTGAGAGAACAATATAGAATTCTACTTTGATAGGTTGTTTTTTTTATCACCCCAACAGCATTTTGAAGATATCATCTTATTTTCTTCTGACCTCTATAATTGCCATTGGGAAATCTGCTGTCATTCTACTTGTCCCTCCATTGTAAGTAAATTATATTTTCCTTTTGGTTGTTTTTAAGTTTTTTTGTCTTTGTCTTTGGTGTTCTGAAGTTTCACTACAATGTCACTAAATATGGACTTATTTTTATTTATTTTGCTCAGGATTCAAGTTTCGTCAATATGAAGATATATATCTTACTTCAGGGGTGTGCAAAAAAAAATATTGCATAACTATTACAATGGTCAAAAGCTAAAAATTATCAAGTGTTGGCCAAGGATGTGGGGAAAATTCTCATACACTCCTGATGAAATGTATAAATTACTATAATACCTTTGGGGTGAAATCTGGGGATACTAGCAAAGCAGGATGCTGTATAACCTATGACCAAGCAATTATGACTTTAGGCACCCATATTAGAGAAAAATTGCATTCATAGAAAAATGAAATACATATAAATCTATTCAGTGAAGCATGGTTTGCTATTGGAAAAAAGAAGAGAAAGCCATAGAAAGAAATTAATAAAAATGTCTACCAATAAGAGAATTAATGAATCAATAATGGTACATTCATAAATAAAATCTTAAACAGCAGTAAAAAACAAGTGAATCAGATATACCTACATGAGGAAGGTAAATTTGGAAAAACAAAATGAGGAATATGAAAAGCAAATAGTAGATGTTAAATGCAATATGATGCTCTATGCATAAATTTGAACAACCCACAATACTATAATTGCCAAATAAGCAGAAACCATAAGATTTCACACTTTCTGTATAATGCAATGGTATAAAAAAATGACAACAAAATAAAAGACTATCCAAGAAACATCTAGCCACTTGGAAATCAAAAAGAAGATTAGAAATAATTCCTGGTTTGAAGAAATAACAGAAATTAAAAGCTATATAGAAATGGTCAACAAAATTAGGCAGGCACACATGTTTTTGGAGAGATAAGTGAGAGACTAGTGATAAGCGTGGGGTCTTTCCAAGGTTACAAGTCTTAGAAAACAAAAACACTTGTTCTGAGTCCATTTTGGATCTGGATTGTACTGTGGCTCCTGCAGGTTTCTGACATAGAGGAAAAAGGGAAGACTTCAAATACCCTCTCCCTCCCAACCTTCCTTTAGTAACAGGTAGGAAAACACAGCAGAAGATCATAGAATGTTGCAGAATGTAGAGGGATGTAAAATGGGCAGAATTAGGTGGAGGAAAACTCAGAGTAAAAGAGACAGAGGGCATCGGGAGCAGTCTTGGGCTGGCAGCCAGGGTGGCCAAGCACAGGCAGATGCCTGCATCTCCCAACAAGGCATGGCTGTGTCCTTGAGTGAACACAGCCAGTCCCAGCCAAGTTTAAGGGGCAAATACAAATATGGAGGCAATGCCAGAGAGCAGGGAGGAAGAGTGGTAGACTTAGATGAGCTATAGCTCAGAATATCAACCCCCTGGAAAGAGGACTCAGGACAAGGACTGTCCCAAGGCAGCTGGAGGGCGAGGCCTGAGTGTCCTGGCTGCCTCACTTGGGAAGGCCATCACTCTCTGGTGAAGTGGCAATAAAAAGGCAGGAGCATTCGACTACACAGAGCCTTCAGGTAGAAATGTTTCTCCTGCCTAAATTCAGGTGCTAAGTGAACAAGATAAGAACCTCTACTATAAACAGTTTCCAACGTTGAGTTTTCTGAGGCCATTACGTTCCTGGGAATAACACCAGAGGTACCATGACAGACTACTAGAAAGAACAAATGAGAGGGCCAGCCCCACTAGACCCAGTAAGGAAACTTAATATTTCTTCTGTGCATTTCAGATTTGGGCAAAGCCAGACCACATACTCAGAGCTTACTAGACTCTATCCTCCTTGTTATCCAGAAGACACACAGTTACTATAGAGTGCAAAATTGGGGAAAAGAGAGCACAGTGTGTATTAATGCATGTAAAACATCGGATGTTAGCACAGAAATGTTAATAACTAGAAATTACTGAATTCTCTATGTTTGCCTGTTGTGGGAATAAAACCCTCTGGAGATGGATCAAAAATATCTGGAAATTACTTGAAACTGGTGGATAACTGAATGTAATGTGCCTTGGATATTATAACTATACTCTACCATAATCTAATTGCACTTTTTGTTGGTTCTGGGGACCATTACACAGTGAATATTGCAGAAATTATATAAAGCTCCAAAAGCTATTCGATATAAACTTCTTGAGTGGGAATTCTCAACCATAATGTTTAGCCTATTACTCTGATAATTCTGGATGCTATTTGATTTTATGTTCTGAAATTTTGACTGGTTTTGGGAAAACTGTAAATGCTTAACAACCGGTTCTCTGGGTGAAAAGTTCTGATTTATGGTGTTCGCCAATTTCCATAGTGTAAATACTTCCAATATGGCCAACTGCAAGCTACGAAAGTAATGTCACTGAATGCGGAATTAGGAAGCAATATGCACAGTTCACCCTTGAGTTGGTACCGACCACCATCTGTACCCCATAGGCCTCTGTGAAACTACAGATTTTTACTAAAAATTCTGTTCCATAAGTATACAAAGGCACCAGGAAAGAAAAAATACGAAGGGAAAATAAAATAAATTCAAATCGGGGAGCGCAAATGGAGCTCAGATTTTTTTTGAGACTTTCAGAAGTGGTATTTGTCTATAATCTACATTTTCTTATTTTCTGTTATTAAGCAAACAAGCTGTCTATCACACTGAGCGCTTTGAACTCTTAATTTCCTTGGTGTTTCACTAGAAGGAGACGAGGGTTTCTTTCCTTTCAGATATTGGTGCTAAGGAGATGCTGACCACAAAACTCAGCAGGACTTGCACTGTAAGCCAGTTTCAGAATGGCTGAACTGAGGGTCAAGAAAGAAGACAAGATATGGAGCCTGCTGAATTTGGGGGAGGCAACCCTGAAATTTAGAGCTGTGGTTTGGTATGATGATATATATATATCATTTAAAAATTAACATTAATGAAAACAAGAAAAATAAATTATTCAAAAACTGAAAAAAATGGATTCATAAACTCTTCTATTAAAGTCAAGAAAAACTTGTTAAAATAGAGGTGAAGTGGAAATATCAATAAGAATGCATGTACATTTTTAAAGGAGAATATATCTGTTCTGTTCCTATTGTGATTTATACTATTGGATATTTTTGCTGCCATCCTGCCAAATTCTAGTCAAAATGTGGAACAAGCTTATTTGTAGAGCTAGTGCCTGTGGCTTCTAAAGCTATTTTCCAAATGAAAGGAACAAATACCCTTAGAAGACAGTTGATTCCATATTTCTGGACAGGGAAAAAAATTAATCAGGATTAGTTTGTGAATTCTAGATGTTGAAAGAAAGCAAGGTTGCATTAGGGTATCAGAGAGTTATAAGTCCACAATGATGCAAAAGAGAAGATAAGACAGAATTGCTTGAAAAACACACCCGCTTTCTGGAATTGTTTACTGAAGAAGCTGTATATTGCTTAACACAAGTTATATGAGACCTGCACTTATATGTGTATAAACCAACAGTTTGAAAATGCAGGATGCTGTCATTTTCTATAAGGAGATGAACCTGGGCACAATCAGAAGGGGTATCATAGGACATTATTGGTATTTCAAGATTTCTGTGAAATGTGGTTTTATTTGATAGAAAAGGATGCAAGCAGTTTGGAGAGAATCAGGATTTTGGAGGGATGCTGGGGATGATCTTTTAGAGTTGTTCCTCTTATCTTCCCAGCCACAGATTTCTTCCTAAGCATTGCCAGCCATGGTTGGAGAGTGGATAGAGGCAACCCCTGAGAAACCACGCTGAGTTTGATCTACTGGCGAGCATGTGCACACTATTGCGTTATATCATGGTGCTTATGGCCAGTTATCCACAACGCTTCATGTCGCCCAAGCAGGGACTCGTGTTACATTATTTTTGTTACCATGTGGCTGTGCACCTCAGGTGGCAAATCAGAACTAGCTCCTCTCTTTGCAGTAGACCTCACTATGTCTCACTAAAGGGGGACAAAATCCTACAGATGTCATAAGATGTGCAATGGACACTGATGAACAGAAAAAAATAAAGCATGTTGGTGAAAAAATATCAAAACTAGTTAAAATGTAAAAAGTGAAAGATAAAACAAAGGGAAACTATGCCACAAATAAGATTTTTTTACTGAGCTTCTCTTTCTAGTGAGATTTTAAAATTAAGGAAGCATAGGAAATAAGTGAAGGAACAGAGAGTCAAATGATAATGGGTAAGTTTGGGAAAAACCCGTCAACATAATGCCAGTGGATGCCTATAAGAACTAAATGTATGACAAAAAAGAGAAAAACAGGTCATTTTAACACTGATTGATGCCTCTGGTGACACTTGGTACTTTGCAAAATCTGTATCTTTGACACATACTATGGTTTACACATAACTGGAAGAAAGCCAACTAACAAAAGGTTTATCATCAATAAAGGACAGCACAGTGCCAAACTGACACAAGTAGGGCGTCAACCCTTTTTCCCCAAAGGAGGAGGTAGTGGAGGCCTGCTCTGGGCCAGAAGTCAGCAGCGCAGTGGATGGTATGGTGGACGTAACGGGTGGAAAGTGGGTGGGATCAAGGGAGGAAGAAAGAAGGAGGGATTTTGGCTTCGTAAGAAAACAGAAATCCAAGGGTAGGTGTTTTTGAGCCTCGGAGCACTGCCGGTGGTCACTGTGTGTCACTCAGATTGGCAGGCTTGCCTTGCTTTGGGTGTCACTGTGGGAACCCACCCCGGGGGCTTACGAGCCAAACTGGATTTGTAGTGATTGAGACATCCCACTGCTCTAAATAAACTGTCTTTCTTATTCCTGGCATCTCTGAAGGAAAAGCTGAGACCCCTGGAAAGAGGGTAAAAAGGGGGGCCGTCAACACGAACATTCCTCCTTTACTGGCTCTTTAAACCATCATTTGTGGCAATTGGGGGATCCTGCTCTGGACTGTAGTGAACACCTATCGTCTGGATAGATGCAAAAAAAGAAAAAAAATCCAGAAGGCTCCATCTCTAGACCTTCCATGAACCGGAGTTATGGAGGCCTTTGCAGATGGTGAACATCAGCTTGAAGAGAAGAAAAGGCAGACTGTAATGACAATGGCTGAGGAAGGCCGGTTTCTCAGTCCTACTGCGATCACTCAGACAATTCGGGGGTATTTTGAGGAGTTCAAATTCCCTCCTTCACAAGTTGGGGACTTGAAGTTGTTTTGGAGCATTACTATTATATTATCCCATTTCTGTAGATACAGGCTGGTGAGTCCATAGTCAAAATGACGTTCCACATACAAATTCACACACACATCTACCCCTCACTGTCCTGCCGCCCTTGCTTTGCTTCCTTACTCAGGCTGAATGGACTTTGATGGTGCAGCTTTGGATGCTGCTGTGCTCCTTCCAGATTCTCGCGTCCCTATCTGAGCTTCGTGTAGCCCGACCTAGCTTTCCCTCTAGGTCCTCAGCAGCGACTTCTTTCTTCTTGATACTGAGGCTCTCTTGCTCCATCTCCTGCTTCTGGCTTTGCTCCTCTCACTGAATTCTAATACGTATGGTCCTCCATGCCACCATCCCAAGGTACAAGTGTACCACATCGATCGTCTCTCACACCATGTGGTCAATCTCTCTGTTCTCTTGTAAACCAGGAAACATTTTGCCGGAATTAATTTTTCACATGAGTGTGAAAAATTTTTAGCATGAGTGTTACACAGAATGGACTCCACAGTTTCTTATATGAGCAGGGGAAGTTTTGGAGTCAGAAATGTCTCCATAAATAGGCATCATCTACTCTGTAAGACAGGTTATAACACAAGTATCGACGTTGGAGTTGATATAGTCCAACATGCCTAATTTACAGGCGAAGAAACCGAGACCCAGAGAAGGTACATGATTTTCCCCGAGTCTCTCAAAGAAGCCGTGCTGGAAGCCATACTTCCTGACCCAGCGTTCGAGACATTTTTTTTTTTAATCATTAAGAACAATTTAGTAAGTTATATCATTCTTGAGGCTGTGAGGACAGATTTGAGTGGGGAAAGACTCACAGGAAAAACAGATTGAAGGCTGTTGCAAACAGGAAAGAGTTGATGAGGGAAGAGTCTAACGTTGAAAGAGTAGACAGCACTTTATCTCTTAGACTTACAGTAAATTTCTTCACCTGCCAATGGCACAGAGACCCACCTGCCCTGTCCCTATGCTTCCCAGGGACCAGACATTCTAAGCTTAGGCAATACTGTGTATGGTCATGCAGAGGCATGGAAGGGGTCTCAAGTTTGCTCAGCGTGGATGATGTGTAGGAAGCATGTAGGATCAAAACAGGAGATAAGGCCACTTCCACGGAATCAGGATTTCCTTGCCAAGTCTGCTCATTTTCAGAAGGGAAGTGGTAAGACTAGTAGATGTGGATCATTTTCGCTTTCTTCCCAGAGATAAAGCCAATGCTTTTAGGAGAGCCACCTATTTGGATTTCCACTCAGGAACTTCTGGGAAAGGAGGATCAAAATCATTTTGAAGAAAAATACCTGGAATTCCAACATGAACTTGTTTGTGTGAGATAGTAATTTTCTGCTCTTGTGTATCACAAATGAAGGAGAAATCTATTAAACATCATTTTAGCAATACTAGAGACAAATACGATCTAAGTTTTAAAAAATTAGGGCTGCTTGGGGTGACTGGTTAGCTCAGTTGGTTGGAACATCGTGCTGATAACACCAAGGTTGCCAGTTCCATTCCCGCATGGGCCACTGTGAGCTGTGCCCTCCCTAAAAGAGTCAACTATGCCATCGTAGCATGAAAGCAATGTGTAACCAATGACCATGGCTGTTCCCCAATTAAAAAAAAATATATTAGGGCTGCAAAGATAACTAAAATAAACTCAGAAGCTGCTTAGGGAAAGTCAGTAAAAAGGTGGCCCCATGACAGTGGATTTTGAAAATATACTTCCTATAGATAAGGCTACACACTGAAGTGATAAACACATTTCTTGCACATGTCAAGAGCTGAAGGATCGGGGAAGATGGAGTGGAGACTGAGCGGAAACTATGTGGGGACGGGAGAGGAAAGGCAATGGAAATGCATGATGTATAGCATGCAATGGCCAATCTCAGAAACATTAAAAAAAAGAAAGAAAAACACAAAACATCAAAAATATCCACCTTCTGCAAACAGCCAGGAAAATTAAACTAATTCAATGCTGAGATAAACAAAAAATAGCTGACCCAGGATTAGTGCGAAGATATAATTTTAAAGAGTCAGCAAAATTTTATCAGATAAAGAATACCAGAAAAACTTGCAATGCAATAGATGAACATTCCAATTAAGTTTTGTCATTAGTTAAAAAATAATCTTGAGAAATCAATTGCCACTATGAAGGAATATTACCAAAGTGGAAATGCAATACCCAAAGGAGATATAATGTGAGTTGTCACACAGAAAAAAGAAAATGAAAAGCAATAACTCAGTACAAAGCAATGCTCCAACATCCTCATTTATCTTTTAACTAGTAAATTCTATCAGTCAATATTTGTAAGAGTTCCAGCCGGGTTCAAAACTAACCCAGGCAGCCCTAAGAAGGAAGGGAAAAGTTCAGATCCACTATAACAGCATCTTTCCCACAAACCTCTGAAGAAGAAATGCACACACAAAAAAACAATACAAACTACAAAACTTAAAACAATGGAGAACACGTAATTTAATAACATGATGGAACAAAGGTCAAATATATTTGTTATATTACTAAATGTAAATGAGTTCAATTCACCTACTAAAAGAAAAATATTTTCAGATTGGATCACAAAGTACACCTGAAAAATTCCCCTCTTCACTAAAAAAAGACAAGGAAGGCCACAATCTTAATATCGAATAAGACTAGTTAATGTAAAAAAGCATTAAGTGATACTAGTGCTCGTTATATAAGGCTAGCATGCAACTGATGCACAGTAATGAATATCTCTGCATAAAGTGATACATTAACATTTACTTAACTGAAATTACGGGATATGAAAGTACACA